CAGTGACCTCAGCGTCACCTTGGATATTTCCAATATGCGTTTCTTCCTAGTCAGAGGAAGCCCCTATTTGACTGTTTCTGTGACAGAAACAATTTCCATCACAACCGTTCATGACGTTCTTTCCTTTTCTTCAAACGATTCCTTCATGAATTTCTCCTTCCATTTTAACAACGGCCAAACATGGCTCTTATATGCTTCCTCGCCATTCAAGCTCAGTTTTAACATTTCTAAGATCACCTTTGATACATTTTCTGGCGTAGTGATTCAGATAGCTTGTTCGCCGAATTCTGATTTGAAACACGAGGGTGTACTTGACCGTTTCAGTTCATGCTATCCGGTGTCATCACAGGTGATGCTGTTCTTGGAGAAAAATTTTGTGTGGAGTATAAATGGGAGAAGGATAAGTCGGGTGATTTGCTGCTTTTAGCCCACCCTCTTCATCTGCAACTTTTGTCCAAAGGAGGAAGATATGTCGCTGTTCTGGATGACTCTAAGTATAGAAGCATTGATGGGGAGCTTGTTGGTGTGATTGGGGATTCGTGGGTTTTCCTGCTCCTATAACTTGGCATTCTTCCAGAGGTATCAGTGAAGAATCCCTTGCTGAGATTGTCTCAGCTCTTTCTAAGGATGTTGAGAGTCTAGATTCATCAAAAAAACCAACAATCAAGGGGAATGGAGTTTTAATTGCAAGGGCAACAAGGTTGGTATTGATTGCGGAAGAGGTTTTCTTCACTGATGTGATTCCAAAGATTAAGCAATTTTTTAAAGAAGCCATTGAGCTTTCAGGAACTTTTCATGGGGATGGATTTCTATATGATCAGACATGGGGTGGGATTATTACCAAACAAAGATGTACTAGTGCTGGTGATGAATCTTGGTATCGAGCTTATTGTAATCATCATTGTGTTTTGGGATACATCATTTACGGAATTGCAGTGCTTGCTAAGATTGACCCAGAGTGGGGTGGGAAGTATACGCCTCAAACATATTCTCTAATGAAAGATTTATGAACTTAAGCACATAATTAAAATCTATTTATACAAGTTTAAGGTGTTTTGACCTTTAGTTGCACTCTTGGGATGTAGGGTTAGCTGTGTTTCAAGATGGAAGATATCAGTTGAACACTGGTGAAGCTGTAAATGCATACTATTCTGCAGCATTGATGGGCCTTGCATTTGGTGATTCCCATCTTTTTGCCATTGGATCAACACTTGCAGCTTTGGAAATTCATGCTGCTCAAATGTGGTGTCATGTGAAAGATGGAGAATCTGTACGAGGAAGATTTTACAAAGGAGATCAAGCTATGTGATTTGTGGTCTAACAAGAGAGAAAGTGTACTATGGTTTGCTCCTGATGAGCCGAGACAATATAAGCTTGCCTTTCACCTCTTACCCATACTGCCTATTTCTGAAGCCCTATGGTCAAATGTTGATTATGTTAAGGAGCTTGTAGAGTGGGCTTTGCCTGCTTTTAATAGGGAAGGAGTTACAGAAGAATTGAAGGGGTATGTCTATGCTCTGGAAGGAATTTACAATAACGAAGCTGCACTTCAGAAGATTATAAACTTAAATGATTTTGAACATGGAAACACACTTACCAATATGTTGTGGTGGATTCACAGTAGAGGGGCGATGAGTAACAAGAAATTGAGCCACCCAACAGCAGCCTAGTTATCAAAGACCTATAAATGGGTATTGCTTTGTAGAGGGATCTGGTTATGGGTCTTAGTCATTTGGTTCTGTAATTTTGGTGTCACTGTGCAGTCATCTTGGAGTCTTGAGTAGTGTCTTCGGAGACTCTAGTTAAAATTTTGGGTCATTGTTGTTAATTGAGTCTGTATTTCCCTATCATTGTATGATAGGTTGGAGTCTGTCATTTCTTTTTCTGTAATTAGGAGAAAGTGACTCTTATATGAGTTCATCAAAAATGAATAAAATGTTGTTATTTCAGAAATTGATGTTGTTCCTTGGTTTGATTAATCTGCTATTAAATTGAATAAGCGTAGATTTAACTGTGAATTACCCACTGATACCATCAATTTGGAGGCAAGTGACAAGAAAATGGCAATGTGTATGAAAGGATATTCATTTTCATTTTTTATTCAAGTTTCAGAAGTTTTATATGACCAGTTTTAATGACATTTTTGGTTCAATTGACATATTATGTGTTTCAATTGAATGTAAGATCCGAAATGAAAAACTATTTATGTTTTATATGACCCTAAATCCTTAATTACCTTATTAAGTAAGATGGGTCGATCCTCTGGTATGTATGGAACAGTGACTAAAATGCCACTGTTCCTCAACTTTTTTACCTAAATGCCACGCGAACAGTGTTATTTCCCAATCTGCCACGGGGACAAGTTCGCTTCTCGGTGTAGCGAACTCGGTTTGCTGACGTGTCACGTTTCTAGTGGACACCAACTTGATTTTAACCAAGTTCGCCTACATGCTAGGCGAACTTCATTTTTTTTTTTAAATTTGATACTTGTTATCCACTAAAAATGTGACACGTCAGCAAACCGAGTTCGCTACAGTAGCCAACTTGCCCCGTGGAAGATTGGGAAATAACACTGTTCGCGTGGCATTTAGGTAAAAAAGTTGATGAACAGTGGCATTTTGGTCAGTATCCCGGTATGTTTTACAATGACATTTCAAATACACCATGCAAATTGTTTTCATGATATAACGTGGACATTTTTATTTTTATTTTCGGTAAACTCGTGGACATATTAACAAAAAAGTATTATGGTTTGACCATTAAATTTTCTGATCAATATTGAGTGAACTATAAAAAGTGGGCCGTCCCTCTGTCAAATACTATATATTCTTTATGATTTTAATCACGGCTATTTCACCCTTTTACCCCTCATTAATTATTTAATAACTATTTTGTCCTCCATTCAAAACTATCTACTAATCTGCCCCTCTTTAATCGATTAAGCCAAAAATTTAATCGATTAAATGGTCAAATAGGCAAAAATCGTTGACTTGAAGATTTAGTCGATTAAATCTCTCATGCATAAGGTTGTTCTTCTGATAAAGAGGAAGATTTAATCGATTAAGTTGAAGATTTAATCGATTAAATCTTCATTTGACTATTTAATCGATTAAATATTTAATTTAGTCAATTAAAGAGGGGCAGATTTGTAAATAGTTTTGAATGAGGGGCAAAATGGTTATTAAATAATTAATGAGGGGCAAAAGGGTGAAATAGCCTTTGAATCACCCTGATAAAAGTATATTAAGTTTTTAATATAATTTGTTACACATATAATTCATTATTTTTGTTAAGTTCTACCACAATAAAACTTTTTATCTATCTTTTATGGTGCAATTCTTCTTTGTGTTAATGATTGCTAAAATCCAATTTTATAACCACGCCTCCCCTCAAAACTGGGTTATTTTTAAAATTAAATATTAAAATACTATTTTTAATTCATTATGATTTTGATGATAGGAACTCATTTATCAATATCAAGAGATAAACAATTTCTTTTTTTTTATCTTTATAAAGTTTTTTTAGATATAAATATATATTTGATAATACACACATTCTAGGATGAGACTGTTTAATAAATAGAGATATTTTTTTCTAATTTTTTAATTCTGATAATATATTATACAATGTATGTATTTAATAAATAATGTGCAGGAGAATAAATAAATAAAATTTTTTATTTAAAAAAATTTGTTCTTGAATTATTGGTTAATTTTCTAGAATAGAAAAATAAATTGAATTTATCAAACATAATTTCTAATTATTTTTGTTTTATAAATTAAAAATTGATTTAAAAAATAGAAACATTACGATACATATCCTAAGTGAGTAGAAAATGACAATATGTTGTGTTTTAAAGGTGAAAATTTGGATTGATACAATTGTTTTAAAAAAAATTCTACCCAAATTCCTTAACAAGATCTATATGAAAACAGAAGTACTTTATTAATAAAAAATTATGATAGCACATACACAATTTACAATACAGAACAATATACTAATTTGAAATGAGGCCACGATACCAAGATACCTGAAACTCGACTTTTTTTTACCACTATACCTTTTTTTAATAATTAATTACCAAATTGACTCTATTTATAAACTATTTCAATTTTTTTTCAAAAAAAATCATAATGGACATATTTGAATATTTTTTTGCTTATTGACTTACATAAGTTATGTATCTATAACACTAATATTATCTCAATTATGCAATATGTAAAAAAATTGATTTGATTTATATTTAGAGATGTCATTTTCTGAACTTAAATCCCCGTATCACGATCATTATATTTTTGTTTGATCTTTTATTGAATAATAATATGTGATTTATTATTTTTTATATTAAAATATTTGAAATTTTTATCATTTTCTTTTAGACATTTGAGTATGTTTATAATTTTTAAATTTAAATTATAAAATTGTATATAATTATCGGGTCATCCGGTTGAACCAGTGACCCACTGATTGAACCAGTGATCCAGTACCTCATCCAAATCAATGACCGGACCAATTTTTAAAACATTGGATAATGGTACATTATAAAAAAGAGTCTAGGCCTAGGGAAAGAATAAAGGGAAGAAGATATAGACTCATTAAGAGAAAAAGACCACCTATTGTATTAATAAAATAATAATTGAAAGAAAAAAAAAAAAACACAACCCTCACTGAAGATTTTTTTTTTTTTTTTTGGGTATCCGAAGAATCCTTTTTTATTAATTGATTTATTTGCTATATAATTGGCAGGAAAACAGAGCGGTAATTTTGATTAGGGTAAACCCTAAGTCATTGACCCACAAGTTAGGTTACTTATTTATTCGAGGGATTGTTTAAATTTATTATCTATAATAATGGTATACGAGCAGTATGAATTATTTAATTTTTTTACGACAATAAGTTTTTATTCAATAAATATTTATTATATATTTAAATTGATAGTTTTAATAAAATTCTATAATCAAAATATTTAACTTTAAAAAATATTATGCAAAATAAATAATCTAAACATAATCATAACTTTAAGGTATGATAAAGATTCATATTTAAAAGTTAATAATTATACTGTACGAAAAAAAAAGTTATTAATTATATGACTTAATTTTACTTAATTTGTCTTAATAATTTCTAATGTATTTTTTGATTTTATATATATATATATATATGAAAAATGTTATATTATTGTTATTTTCGTTTACAAACTCTTATAATTAAATTTTAGGTGTTGATTTCAGTCAAACTGACGGTTATAATTTATTGAAAATTAATAATTAATTAATAAATATGACACAATAAAATATAACCGTAAAATTAATGGAAATCAACGATTAAAATTTGGTTATAAGAAGAGTTTGTAAGCAAAAAAAGTTATAAATATAACATATATATATATATATATATATATATATATATATATATATATATATATATATATGGGCTTATCGTTTCTCAAGGTCAATCTTTCTTGTTGATAATTAGAACAAAATTCTTTCAAAATAGAGCTGTAGCTGACAGATGAAAAGGTGACTAGTTGCTCCCACTTCCTTCTTTTGATCACTTCTAATATTGGTGATTGTTCTGGCTGATCAAGGTCAATCTTTCTCTCCTTGATGAGAGATTTGGGAAGAAACCAAGTGTGAAACCTCTCTTGACACTCTATGGATAAGAACCTATCCTTATCAAAGGTGGGTTGTGCCTCTCTAGTTGTAGTGGCTCTACTTTTCTTATTCTGTGAGGCTTTATTGGCAGGTTGTGTCTCCTTGGAAGCTGTTTCTCTTGGCCTTTTGTTCTTGGAGATATTACTGATTGGTTGCAGCTCTCTATCTACAGCAACCTTTGGCCTCTTGTGCTTTGTAGTGGTACCCTAAAAATCAGAAAAATCCCATGGCATATAAATTTCAGGATAAAACAATCACAGGTATACCAACCAATTCCCAGATTTATTGTAAACAATAAACCATAGCAATCAACTCAGTCTCAGTGGTATAAAGGCTCATATCTATCAAATTCTCAGATAAAGCAGTCAATAATATACTTTAACCATCAGCCAAATAAAAGTAAGAACTTCCATTTACTAATAATTCCCAGATTTATTTCTGAATGTATCTCCAGGTATATGCAAAAGCCACAATATAAAGGATATGAACTTAATCATTACACTAAAATTTCTGCAAACAGAATATGTTATCCAATTGGTCAATTGGACCGTGAGATAGGCATGGCAGAAATTGGTGGCATACTATGTTGTCAACCGAACCATTAATAAACCAAATCAGATTCAACAGTGGTCCCAAGATTCCTATCCAAATTCATAGTAGTGGAAATTTCATTCCTGGCAGATGGTTATAACAAGCATCCAATACTGATGTAACATTAAGCAATAATCCACAATTAATTATAGTCATAGATATCAAACTCTATGCAATTTCCAACTTCACTTTTGATTATAGCCTATTATGTCAACAACAACAATTATTGACATAAACAGAGCACAAATGATAATATGAATTAGGTGAAGTTAATCCACACTTCAATCAACATGAAATGACCATTTTATTCATTGTGAAGTGTGCCAAAATGATAAGTGCTAAGCAACAAGTATTCTCCAACGAAAGCAATCTTCATGAATTTTCCAAGAATTTTTTTTTGTTTGGACATGCACACAAGTATAAGGTAGTTGTTTAAGTCACAGGCATGCACGCTCACCATCCAAATCCTATTAAGTGTCAACTACTTAGCTTACTTTTCAATGAGACTTAAGGACACAAAACTTAGCCAATAAAATTCAGAAACATGCTGTGATATTAATTATGCCCAAATACAAACTTCAACAAAAATTAACACAAGTCTCACGATGCATTCAATACTAGTATGGACCTGTGTGAATTGAATATTTTATATCCCAATCAGAATAAAAATTTGAGAATCCAAGGATCCTAAAACCTAAGAACAAAACTTAATTACTCAAGCTATCAAATCACCAGTAAAATCCTTTAATCAAAGCTCAGCTATAATCATATTAGAAGATCCATGTGGCATTCAACCGAATTGCTAAGCATTTCAATTCCTTGATTCTATGCACAAACCCATTATTAAGCAAAATTTATATAGCTCAAACACCATATTCAATCCAAGTATTTCATATGTATGCAGATTGTGGTAACCATGCACCACTCAAGTAAAAAAAATCAACACTATGCCTGTCAGGTTCATGCTCACTGTTCAGTCCCACAATATAAGTCAATGCAGAATCAACATCCTATATTCACCAAGTCATCAAAATTTAGTAACCCAATTCGGTACACTTGACTGTAGTTTCATGGAGAATGAATTATAGAAAGGAGAATTGGCTAGTACCTTAATCTTGCCCATGTAACCGAAATATGCAGAAATTGAGATGCAAAAATCAAACCCATAATGGGGAACTCAATTGATGAGGACCGAGGAGAAGAGGAATATAATTGAGCAACCGAACATGATGGCAGAGGATGAGGTGGTGGGCTGTAGGTGGTCCGTGGAGATGATGAGGTAGCTCGGTGGTGGTGGTGGTGGGTGAGGGTTTGATGGCTTGATGGTGAGGTGGTGAGGTGGGGCTGTGCGATGGTTTTGGGTCTGTGGCTGTGAGATGGAGGAGGAAATAAAAAAAAATTAAATGGGTGGGCTGTGAGCTTGAGATGGAAGGAGGATGGTGAGATGGGTGGCTCGGTGATTTGAATGGTGGCTATGGATGGAGGTTGGGTTCGTTCGTTGGTTGGAGGAGGTGGCTGAGTTTTGTTGAGAGTGGTGGCACTGGCTGGTGTGGCGCGATCTTTTGGGGGCTGTATGGAGGTCTGTTGGTTTGTGGTTGGAAGGTTTCTACTTGATGGAGGAATGGGGCGGTGATGGGTATTGGAAAAAGAAGCAAGTTCTAAAATTTTTTTTTACCAATGTTGGCGCAAATTCTTGGAAAAGAAGCATCCAACGTAGCAGTCGTGGCTTTGCATCCTGTTTACTTATGATATACTTCAATGCCGAGTGGTCAGTAAAAACAATAACTTTAGATCCTATCAAAATTTAGTAACCCAATTCGGTACACTTGACTGTAGTTTCATGGAGAATGAATTATAGAAAGGAGAATTGGCTAGTACCTTAATCTTGCCATGCAAAATTTGTGTCATGATTATTGTGCAAATAACATCTTTTGTATATATTGGCTTTGTAAATTTATTTTTTTTGAAATCTAAAAGCATCAGTAAACATTGACTCAAAATTTCGTTTGGGGGAACATTTATCTCCGTTGTTGCCTAGTCCTTGGATTATTCTAGTTACACTGGCTCCGTCGGCTTGTATCCCAGTTGCAACAATGTCTTTCCCAACCTTTTTGGCTGATGCTTTCTCAATTGTTGCCTGGTTCGCGGATTTTTTCAGTTAAAGTGACTCTATTGGCTTGTATTCTAATGCAGCAATGTGATTTCGTGACTAATGGTCATTTCAATTGATTTATTGTCAATTTCTCCGACTTATATTTCGTGAAGTTTCGTTTTAGTTTTCTTTCTTCCCAAGATGAGGTGTCCCTCCATCTTTAGGGAAAGTATTCGAGATGTGGATAATATTTTATTTTAGTTTATTGTGTTTATTATTTTTCTTTAGGGTGAGTTGTAGAGTTGTTACAACCCCCACTCGTTTATTTTAATATTATGTTTCTTAGTCTTTCTTGTTCAAGCTTGTTACTTATGATCTATACACTTCAGCTTGAAGGCGAGTGTTGGAAAGAATATCTTTATTATTTGTAAAAATCTATTTGCTTATTTCATTAGAATTTAGGTTAGATATAGGTTAAACTCATTAATATTTTGTTATATATTATACTCTCCTGAATCAATTTAACATACATTTTTATTTCAATATTCCTCTCATCTCTTATTATTTTACACAAAGATTCAAAAGACTGACGGCAGGTCCTTGCTCAAAGTGACTTACAAAACACATTACGTATATAAAGAGCAAATTTTCGGTGCTTATGCATGCAGTAGGTACTCTTATATTTGAAGAAGAAGAAGAGAGTGAGACTCTGATAGGACAACTCTGAAGATATTTTTGTACATGAGGGCAATACAAAATAATAAGGTGGCGTTTGATTTATTTTATGTTTTTTATATGTTTTCGTTTATAATTATCAAAATGTTATCATATTTTTATATTATTTTAAGATATTATAAAAATGATAAGAATACGATTTATTTTTGTTATTTTTTAGGGATTGATTCTTTTAAAAGACATGAAATTATGTTATTTTAAATAAAAAAACAGATACACAATAGAAATCATGAGGGGAGAAAGTGAGTTTTTTAAATTTAAATTTTAAATAAAAAATACTAGTTTTAACTAAAATGACCATACTATTAAAAGGACAAATATTTTGTCTTATTTTTTTATAAATTCTTAAAAAAAGGAAATAAGTATTTTTTAAATATTACTTTTGAAACATGTATCTCTCGAAGAAATTGGCGAGAAAAAGTGAAAGCAAAATTTGAAAATGTAAAGCTTAAATATTAAGAACGTGGTGTGACGTGGATGCGGAAACATTAGAGTTTGACGAATTGAGCCGCGTCACATGCATAGGGATATTATTTCAAACTTGTAGACAATATTGTATTATTTGCTCTGGAAAATAGGTTGACCTTTCATTTGTATTTATTTATTTTTGCAGATTCTCATATGACAATATGTAATTTATTTATTTTTGAAAACAGAATGCCAAAAAAACAAAAAGACAATGCATTATTGATTGTACAATATATATTTTTTCTTAATTTTGAAATTTTTACGAATTACGATAATAGTACATGATTAAAAAGAGTCCAGGCCTACGGAAAGAAAAAAAGGAGAGAAGATATAGACTCATCGAGAGAGAAAAATCACCTAATGTATTAATAAAATAAGGAGAAGGTAATAAAATAGGAAGATATTATAGTTATTATTATTTTTTCTTATTATTTGTTACTATCAAATCCTAATCGTTGATTTTCATTAATGTAACAATTATAATTTATTAAAGGGAATAACATCTATCCTTTTAAATGATATAAACTTATATCCTTTTAGATCCTAACCGTTGATTTCCGTCCATCGACGGTTATAATTTATTGGTTTAAAATTATTAATTAATTAAAAATAAATTTGGCCCATTAAGTTTGGCCCAATAGGTTATAATCATTGATGGACGGAAATCAGCAGTTAGTATCTAAAAGGATATAAACTTATATCTTTTAAAAAAATAGATATTTTTTCCTTTATTAAAATCAATAATCGGGCCGGATATAATAAGATTACTTTTTTTTATTAATTCATTTAAACCCTAAGCCATTAAACCCACAACACAAAACTCTCTCTGTTCCGTAATTCGAGAAAACGACACACACACAGATTCACGCACAAAGTGACAAAAAAACGACAAACTTGACAGGTTCCATTCTCTCTCTCACTTTCTCTTTATCACTGTTCTTTATTTTATTATATTTTTCTTGCGCTTTCTGATATTGAAAGCAAGCTTTGTCTCATCTCCATGAACAGCCACCAAAAGCTGTTATTCCTAAAACCCGCAATTTTAACGTCGATTTCTTCTTTCTGTTAACGAGCTGAACTCTGCGTTATTTCTAAGCCGTTCGAATTAATTACATTCCTAATCAAGAGGCTTAGAGTCCCTTAATCGTTTTAAATCATCAATGAGGGCAGTTAAATTCTGGTGGGATGACCCACCTTCTTGAATAGCCCGTCCAGCCTTTTTCCCAAACTTCGGTGTTATTATTCAAAATTTAGAGACAACAAAGTTGTTATATTTCAAAATAAATCCTTCGTTTTTGGACTGATCTCGGTGCAAAGAAGCATATAACTCGAGCATATTATTTCAGTTTTTAGGCAAATAAAATTGGCAGTCAAAGTATGATTAGGAATTTTATTGACCAGAAGATTATTTTTGGTCAGTCAATATTCTTGATTTTTATCAACGTGGATCAGGGGAATAGGAATTATGAGTTCTTGTCTTGGTGTGAGTTATTGAAGATATGTAATTTCATAGCATCAGGAGTTGATTTAGCTGTAATTATATAATAATTGAAAATTTGTAATCTTATAGTATCAGTAATTTTATAACATTAGAATTAGTATAATTATATCATTAACAAAATTGCTTAATCATAACAATTACTCTCCTAACTTGACATAAAAATATCTTGAATATATATCGATCCAATTGACTAACCCAATATGGTTAGCCCAATGCAAGAGGGTGGACGGGCTATTTAGAGAATATGGTTTTTGTTAAAATAACAACAACCTTGATTAGGAATTTTTCTTGAAACGTTCAAATTATTAACAACAACCAAATATCTCTTTGTTGTCTTGATATTCAAATTCACGGTTCTTGAATAGACATCATATACAAGGTGTTATTATATGTTCCCAAGCAAGATCATCTTCTTCCCCTTCTTCCGTCGATTTCTTATATTTTTCTTTTGGCCACGCAATTGATTAGTGAGGGCCAATGGGAACGAATTGAATTGTGAATTGAGTCTTTCTATTAATCTAATTTTGTTGTTAATTAAAAAAATTCAAATTATTAACCTGATTAAGCGATTTTTTTTCTGCTTTGAATTAAAGAAAGTGAGGCTTTGCAGATAAAGAAAGCGATTGGATGTTGATGAAGTGTAAATGGTGTCAAGAATTGTAAAGATTCTATTTTTTTTTTTTAAATTCTTTTAGTTGACTAGCTGAGCATAAAAAAATTGAGGAAGTTGTTAATTTAATACCCCATTTGAATTATTTATTGCTCTATAGTTTATTAATTCGACATTCTAAATCTGGGGTTGCTTTAATTTATTATTTTTTGAACTTCACGTGTTGTTCAAAGAACTCTTTTTAATATTTTTTAAATTCATGATGAAACATATGGCATTAAATAGCTGAGATTGCAACTGGGGTGGTTTTTTTTTTTCCAGTGGTGAAATTTGAATAGTAGCTCTGCTATTCTGGGTAGCTAGGTTAACATTATTAGAGCTTGTGACATTGGTCACATTGAGTTTGAATAACGTTGAACCGGGGAAGGATTTATACATGGTTTATAAAAGGTTTTAGACTTAAATTTCTTTGCTGGTGATGTACAAAACTACAATACATAGTATTAAAAAAAAAACATACACACAGAACTTTATAATTTCGAGTGTAGACATATGTATTATTTAAACAAAGGGGGTAGGGGATTCACGGAAACCCTTTCATAAGTTGCAAAAAATGTTTATTAGTATTATCTCTTATGGAGATACCATGATAAAAAAAAATGGTGGTGTTACTTTGATACTTAATTGATTATGATACGTGAATACAAGCTCTGTTGATACCCTCCCTTCCTTTCTTTCTGCTTATATGGTAAAGCTACTTACCATATGGAAGAAGAGTTTGGAACTAAGGAGAACAATTTTCTTCTGTAAATGCTAATGATATTTTTTCAATATCTTCCAAGTAGGGAAGCTGTCCAAGATTACGTACTTGAATGATGTAATTTAGATTAGTCTTAGATCTTTGTCACGACCTTTTCTTTTTGAAATTTTGAATTTTGATGACCCAATTTTGTTCTATTTGGTTGTGATGCCATTTTAAGATGGATGGCTTCTTCGTTATATTATGATTCTTAAACTATTTCTAATTGCTTTTCACATTGGTATTTGTATGTGTGCAAACTCAATTATGAGCATGTTTACATTTCTCATGATATCGTTTTCTGTATTCGGAGTATTGATATCATATAATGAACATTATGGTATTTTCTTTAACTACATTAATTATTTCTAGTGGCTTGTAGCGCCTGCAGGATAAATAGTTTCTGATAAAACGGGAAGATGTATACCCAGGGTTCTAATCTTGGGAATTCCTGCAAACGAATTCCAC